TTTAGGTTGTTTATATATATATATATATATATATAATGGTCAGATCCTACTGGAGTCTTCCACAACTATATATTCATTAATTACTGTGTACAGTGCGACTACTCGTTACAGCACAGCTGACAAGAAAGGTGCCCTGTGCTCTAGGCCTGACTCCGTCCGCAGTGTTGTATATGTCACCATCGGCACACATAGTATTAACCCTTTCACGATGCTCGGTACTCGTTGTTCTATAAATAGGCATGCAGGTGACCCGGCAGTTGACTGATTGGTGGCTGGGGATCTGGGCCTCGGCCCCCGATGCCACGCAAGAGGTATGAGTTAATTTCGAGTTATCTGTTGAGGTGTCTGTATTGTTAGAGGCGTGGGTTAAATGAGTGTTAACTATTGAGAATTGAATCTCTTTAGAGGTCTGTGTTAAATGAGTGTTATCTATTGAGAATTGGGTCTCATTAGAGGTCTGTGTTAAATGAGTGTTATCTGTTCAGCAGTGAGTGTCTTTCTATTTGTTGAGCTACTTGGTGTTGATATGGACTACTGTGAAAATGCGACGATGTCGCATTGTTCAGGTTCGAAGTGGAATCCTTCTTCAGCAAGCTCAATGGCGGCATTTCGGATATATTTTCTGTTATGTTCCGCACTTGGTGTTCAACGATTCAATATATATATATATATATATATGATATGATATATATATGATATGATATGTAAGCTCCATTGTCATCACCTCCCTACTACTTGCGCATGTGCGTCCACTTGACATTGCTATGATTCAGTATACCTACCCTATACCTCCCTTCACATCCATGCAGGCCTCCTACTACCTGCGCATGTACGTCTATTTGGCTGTGGGCAATGGTCTCTTCACACTGGCGCGTAGTTTTCTCTTTGCGGCGGCTGGGCTCGTTGTCGCTAGGCGTTTACACGACACTCTGTTGGTCACGGTCATGGGCAGCACACTGGTACGTATGTCTAAACCAAGCTTATAGTGGGTGTCTAAACTAGTGTTTAGTGGATACATTGTGGTCTATCCTCCACTATAATACTGATGGGTGGGCTTCAATTGACACCAGGCCTTGTACTGGTAAGGTGTGGTGTGTGGTGTGTCTGTGCCTACCACCAAGTACTGGGACGGTTAGTACCCATCGGTTACTGAA